CCAATGGATGACATCCATGCACCCACGGTGGCCTCAGGCCCCACCTCTACGCCAGGGAGAAATGGCCGCGAGCTGTCGAGCTTGTCTCTAAACGAACTTTTTGATGAAAAGACACGTCTGGAAGCTGAGCTTCAGGCACTTAGCAGCGTTCTTGACTCTGTATGTCAACTTGTTTCTTTCCCACTTCTGGTATAACATATGTCGTTCTCTGAAGTCCTTGGTCCCCCACCTACAAAAATGGGTTGATCATGGAAATGGGATGAGGAGTAGCTCACTAATCATGATATGTACTTGATATAGCATGGAGTAAATATGTCGACAAGCTTGTTTACATTCGATGGATACCCCCGTGATGATTTGGATATTGCACAGAGTACGTTTTCCTCCATATTTCTTCCACATTCGCGGCTTTCCCAACTCCACATCTATGGGGTGGTTACAACAAGCGCGAGAACAAACAGACTAAAAACCAGGAATAAATTATACTAAAACAATCTTGCTTCGCAGTCCGTACGACTCGAGCGCGAATAATCCACCTACGGAACGACTACAAGGACGTCATGACCAAGGTTGAACGGGGAGTTCATGCGCATTTCGCCCGGCTCCAGCAACAGCAGCATCAGCAGCGGCGGCAAGAGCAACAGAACGCAAGCTGTCCTCCTACACCCGCAACCACTACTAATACTTCATCAACGTCGACTCCTACCCCCTTACCCGCCGCAATGGACGATTCAGCCACTACCAGCGCTCAGGCGGGGCTTATAGAGACGCCATTTGCGAAGATTAATAGTGTGGCTGAAGGCAGCCCTGCAGCACAGGCGGGAATTAAAGTCGGGGACCGGATTCGCAGCGTTGGGCACGTTAACTGGATGAATCACGAGAACTTGGCTAAGGTGGCGGAGGTTGTGCAGCGGAATGAAGGGGTATGGTTTTTCTTTCTTCGGTTTATTTCATCTTTATTTTCCAACTCCCCGACCTACTCTTATTCGCTTACTTATCTCCACTAACATATCCATATCCCTCTTTTGTCAATCTAGAACACTGTCTTGATTAAGGTAGTTCGAGGCGATGAATCTGGCGAAACGAAGGATCTCACTTTACAGCTTGTCCCCCGAAAAAACTGGGGAGGTCGCGGGTTGCTGGGATGTCATCTTGCGATAGTATGAATCGTGGAAAATGAGCAATTTACTTCGAAGTGGCAGTACCATTCGTTTTGTTTGTTTTTCCTTCTTAGCCTTCACTTCCTTTTTTTCCCCCTTTCTCTCTTCACTTTGATGCGGGCGCAGGGCCGAGAGCTTGACGAAACTTCAACGGGATTTTAATGTTTGGAGTACCCGGGCTTAGTGTTGTTTCTTTGTAATGACCACTTGATAAAGATTTTAATGTGCTATACGAATTTGTACGGGCGTGCCATCCATCTGTTTTTGTCTTTGCCTAATCTGTTTCCATCCCCGTTCATTCATAAAATTTACTTTTTTCTGCTTCTTTCATTCTCAAAACTTTTTTGGTGCATTATTAAATAGCCAGTTACGCATTAGAAAGCCAGACTCACGGTTTTTTGTTCCTTAACACGCAGCAGGTGTGGCTTTCGAGAAGATTTTGCTTTAAATATTTGTTTAGAGATGCCCTTGTTCATGAAGATATGAAGATATAATTGCAGCAGTTAGGCAACAAAGGAGCTAATAATAAATACTATAAATAATAAACTCCGTACGAACTCAAAGCGCCTCAGAGTGCCAATCTTGGGCTTCCAGGGGCATACCTAAGCGTGTTTTGGGCAGAAATTATTAGGCCACTTACGGCAAAAGGGCTCAATCACCACCAGCGCCGTGGTGGTATAATCCAATCCCCCAACAGAAATGATGCCCTACCGAGAACCTGTCCACGTGATCTTCTGCCTGCAGACACCGCCTTCCCTTCGCAGTTCCTGTCCTTGTCCTCGCGCTGACCAAAAACAACTTTTTTTCTACTTTCCTCACACCAGGTACATAACAATATAACATCAACTCTCCCTGCGAATCGCCATTCCATCTCCCTACATCACCTAACTTCTCCATTCTATATCATCGACTCCCCATACCCCTTGACTGACGTTCCCTCTTGGCTTATCTGCTGTGTTTCTCCTCTGGCAAACAGGGCGGCTGACACTGTTTCCGAATTTTCCCTCTAATAAACCCCTCTCTCATCAACGAAAATGGCGGCCCCACCCACCTTCAAGCTCGTTCTCGTTGGAGACGGCGGCACTGGCAAGGTAAGGATGCCATAACCAGCTTGCAACTCCCCCTTCTTTCATCATCCTTCATTTCCTGCGTGTACGTGCTGGGCTGGGAAATGGGATTCTTTTCCTTTCCTCAGGCGAAACTAGCCCCTCGCCCGATACCCCTCCATACCAACACGTCCCACTGCTAGACAACGACTATGCCAAGTCACCCGACAAATGTTTTTTGGGGCCTAAACGAGAAATTAGAAAGGAAAAGGAATAGTCAAAATGAATAATTTTGCTAACATAGCTCTTCTCTGTTGAAAATAGACCACCTTCTTAAAGCGCCATCTTACTGGTGAATTCGTAAAGAGATACATTGCTACTCTGGGTGTTGATGTCCATCCCTCTCAACTTTCAGA